GGAGGGGAGGGGAGGGGAGGGAAGGGAAGGGAAGGGAAGGGAAGGGAAGGGGTAGGAGGGTGGGAAGAAAGGAGGGGACAGGAAGGGGCTGGGTGGATGCCCAGGGGATGAACAAGAGCGGAGAGGAGAGGAAGGTCCATGCTCCAGCTCTGGGCAGCGCCATACTAACCTGAGGAGCTTCCCCCAGTCAGATCAAAATAGGAAAGGCTTGTATTTGGGACTGATGACAAAACCGCCATGACTGTCACTGTGGGAAAAAAAAAAAACGTATGCAAGCACACATACAGCCAGGAAGGTAGGACAGACACAGCTTCAGTGGGCCACGGCAGGCCCTTGCTCCACAGCACCCACCCTAGAGGTCTTGGCCAAGCCGGCCCTCAGCCCCGGTTTGTTACTTATATAGTAGGAAACGGGATCTTCCTGTAGCACTGTGTATCTGATGATCATGCCCAATTCCTCATTAATTTGAAGCTTACCTGAAAATTCTTTTGGGCTCCTACAATCATCTTACCTTCTGAGATTAATGATGCTTTTAGTTCTTTTCCAATCCTTACTCTTTTTCTTACCTTCTTGCAGGAGTGAGGCCATCCAACACAACGCCAGGTGATGGGATGGGTCTCTGGGTCTCTTTCCTATTTCACCACATTCCTACTCATTATTCCAACGCAGTCCCTAGTGCAGTAAAGAATTTAATTTTGCCCAAGAAAGGCCAGGTTGGGTCCTCGGAGGTAACTGATCCAAGTGTCTCAGTCTGGAAACTGGAGCCACAGCAGATGGCTCTATGAGATGGCAGGGGGAACTTGAGGGAGAGAGAGGGAAAGAGAGGAGGGAGGAGGAAGGAGAGGGGGGAGGGGGAGATGGATTGATCTGTTTAGCCCAGGCTGGCCTCAAACTTGAAGGGATCTACCTGTCTCAGCCTCTGATGCCTGGGTTTACAGGCATGTCCCGAACCAGGGGATCAGTCAACGAAGGTCACCTGGGGGAGGAGCGGGGAATTGAAGAGGGGACAAAGGACAGGAGACGCGAAGAATGGGGACAAGACAGGATTCTGATCAAGTCCCGTTTATTCAGGGGAGGTGCTGGGTATATATAGGGGGTTGATGGAATGAGGAAGTCTTGGCTCTTGGGGTCAGCAGGTATCTGGGGGGGGGGTGTGCAACCCCTGGGGCATAGCACGTGATTCTCCGGGACTGGGCAAGGTGAGAAGGACCATAAACTTAACTCAGCAGGGGAACAGAAACTTAAGAAAACGGCTGACACTATTATAAAATGGATACCAGTTAATGGCCTCCCACACAGGCATGTGTTGGATGCCTGGCAGGATGTTGAATGTGTGTGTGGTACTATCAAACTCAGGACCTCTGAGCTATCTCTCTGGCCCATTAGACCTATTTATACAAAAACAATGTTTACAGGCATGTGCCTGGCAGAATGTTGACTCGTTTTTCAGACAGGGTCTCAGCCTGCTCTGGTGCTCTGGTGGGGTTACAGGTATGTGCTACCATGCCCAGTGAGATGCTGAATCTTGCCAGCTTATTTTCTACACCTACTGAGATTCCTTTTTTTTCTGCTGTAATGAGTAAGTTGATTTTGGAATGCTAAAGCAATCTGGTATTCCTGGAAGCCAGGCTTGGTTGTGATGACAGCTCTTCTGTGCTACCTACATTAGGCCTAATTAATCACTGGGTTGGAATCTTACTGTATACTCCTCATAGGAAAATGTTTTCCATGCTTCAGTATCAACTACGCTGACTCTAAGGCTGGAAAGAGTGTCAGCCTTGTGGCTTGGGCTGTGGCGTGCACCTGAGAAACACAGTAATCTAATTTCCAAAAAACTGAGATTGATGCTATTCTATGTCTTTTCTTTGTATTCTAACGCCACCCTCTGTATCAGTAATCTTCAGGTTTATTTCTACAAACATGGGGTTTTCTTGTTTTTCTGCCTGGTTTGAGGCATGTCCTAGCATGTCTGCTCATTACATTACTGAATGCTGGTCACACCAACTGTACGACATCACACGAACGCTTTCGCTGTCCACCTGGCAGGCGGAAAGCTGCACCCTACAGGTCTGTGATTAACTCTTGGCAGGCTGCCATCCTGCCATCTGCTGAAGGGTGTCTGAACTTCTTTGTCCACCTTTGGATCTTGTTTAAATGTGCAAGACTGTGTATTCAGTGAGAGGTTCTGGCCCTGGTATGAACTGCTGAACTCTTCTGGTGGTCATCTAACAAGGCTGGAGCCCTTGAACAACAGCTCGTCTTCCCCGCGACCAGCCCTGCCTTCCTCTCCAACTCGGCCCGGGGCGCTCGCTCTCACCTCTCCCGCTATTTCTAAACACCCCCTCAAACTCCACCCTAACAAAAGCCCGTGAAGGCCTCAGCTTTGTCTCAGGTTGGAGAATCTGCCCCATCTGCCCTCCACTCTGTCCCTGTCTTTGGAGTTAATAAAGGCTTTCTTTTAGTTTTCCTCTTTTCTGTGCTACCAAAACCCCTCTCATTACAGCATTAGCCCTCCTGTGCGGGCCGTATCGAGGAGACATTTCTTCTTCGTTGAGTGTTTTCATCTGATGTTTGATATGCACACGTTTAGTCTTGAGTCACACTTAGCGGTCTCAGTATTTTTTGCGTGAAGCACGCCAGCAACCTAATCGGTGTGTCCGCTCTTGTCTACACCCCACCCCTGTACTGGGGACTGAGCCCAGAGCCTTCCACTGAGCCACATTCTCATTTTCCTTATTTGGAGACAGTCTCACAAATGCACAGCTGCCTAGGGTTGGCTGGAACTAGCTACGTCCTGCCTCAGCCTCCCTAGCACCAGTTCAGATTAACAGGCGCGCGGCCGCCCCCTTCCCACCGCGTTCTTCAGGACTTGCCGACAGCGATTCTTTGTAGGCATAATTCAAGACAAGCCCTGCAGGGCTCTCCACCAGGCTTAACGCAAGCCACGTCCTTCCCACATTCCAACGCTCCTGGAGACAGCGGGTCCTCCCGGCCAGCGCTGCAGCGCCCCGCGGTTGCCGGGGCTGCGGAACCCAGCAACCGCGACGCTACCCGGATAGCGTCCAGCGTCCCGGCCGGGAAGTGCTCAGGGAGGGAAGGAAAGGCGCGCCGGCCTCAGAGCCAGGCAGGACCCAGCGCGAACCGACGCGGCAGACGATAAAGCGTAGGCTGGCAAGGGAACCTGGGAGGGGCGGGGCGGAGCCGGGCGCAAGGACACCTGGGAGTGGGGGCAGGACGCGGCTACGCGCAAGGACACCTGGGAATGAGGGGCAGGACGCGGC